AGATAGGCTATTAGCCGCTAAAGAAACGACGTTCTTAGCGTAGTTAGAGGCGGGGTTATATATAATCCGAGCCGCTATACTGAGGGGTAAGTATATAATATATGAGATCCGAGGAGAATAAAAAGAAGCTCGTAAAAAATATTATTAACGTAGCAAAGTCTAGCAGGGTAATTATTATGTTCCTTAGTATAAATAATTTTTTAGGATATAGGGTAATATAAGTGGGAAGATAATATTTTATGCCTAGATTATTTGTAAAAAAATATACGAGACTATGTTTACCCTTAGAAGCCTTGACCCCGCTAAAGACTTATTAATATTACCTCGACTCACCGCCTAATACGTATATCCTAATTGTATAGGAAATAGTTTATTAGTAGTATCGTCTATACTTAAATCTAATTAGTACTATAGCTTATTACTTATGTAACGACTTTATGTTATTTAAAGGTCCTTATAATAAATATACTATGTAAGGATCGTAGTATATACGTAGAGCCCTCCCGATTTAAAAAAATTAGTATTTATCGCAATTTTGATTATAAAGCTATTTTTTTTAGGCTTAAATATAGTTAGCTACGTTAGTAAAAAGCTATTGCGTTTATTGTCCGCGAACGCGGTCTTTGGGTCCTTAGTTTTTTTACTAAACGCTTAATTATTATAGTACGGTCGCTGTAGAAAGATAGGATATTTGAGTATTCCTTTTATGCTTACGAAGCTTTCCTAGAGCTCTTCTTAAATAAAGAGCCTATATTACCCCCGCCCGCCTCTACTCTACCTTCCGCGACCGTTCTGGCTTAAACTGCGATAGCTTCTATTAGCCGACCTTAGAAAAACCTTGTTAAATTTTTCGAGAGGTAACGCTCGCTTTTTACTTATTTTTTTAATTAGCCTTATGCTTATAGTATTTTAGGCTCTATATAACCGGGATCTATTTAGATTTAATAATATCCTCTATTATTAAAACTTATTACGTTTACTGCGCTATTATTTATTTACGGTTTAATTTCTTAACTATTATATATTTTTTCTTGCGCACAAAGTTTTTAATACTAATATAGGCGGTAATATAAGAATCTTTTAATAGCTCGATCTACCTTCTAGACGACGAACTATACGTTGTTAATATAATAATATAATATTTTACTTCTTAAACTACTAATAATCGCTTTATATAGATAGCTTTTTATAATCGCTAGAACTAAAGTTAAGCGAGGCTAAAAGTATTACTTATCTCTTTTTATAAGCTAAGGTATATATAATCGTAAAAAAATATGCCGTTAATAGTCTTAAGGACCCTCGCTATAGGAAATTTTAAGGCTATTACTACATAAGCTTAAGAACCGAACGATTTTTATATTTGGTTACTGAGGCCTATACCTCTACTATTAATACTAATTAGCGTTTCTAGGACGCTATCCTCGAAGTATTCGCAGTATATACGGACCTATTAGACAATAATAAAGCTAAGATAACTATTAAAAGCCTAGGCTCACTTCCCTATAATCTTCTTCTATATTTATATTGGGAAGGGAAATTCTAGTATTAGTATAGCATACTAACTAGCTCGATCTAGCCTTTAAATAATTACTTTTTAACCTTAGTAGCCGGGAGCTTATATAATAACCGTATTAATTAGGGATAAGAATAATATTATAAATTTAATATTTAGATGGTTCTTAATGTCCCGCGATAACTATTATATAATAATTCTTTAGAAATTAATGTTTGGTATGAGATACGAATTAGAGTGTTAAGACGCGAGCTAATACTATAAGTCTAGCGTTAAATATGTGGCGGACTTTATAATAGCTATCTAAACTGTGAGCTATAGGTTAATACCCTTACTTGAGGACTATAATCGTGTCCCTTAAGTATATTCCTATTGTTTGGAAATATTAAGTTCGAAACGGGTTCAGAAAAGGGGCCCGGGCGGGTTGACGTAAGGTGTGGGCGTTGTACTGGCTCCGGTGCCCTCCGCTGCGGACTAGGTTATGGCTACTTATATATCCTGGCCTATATTATATAAGTACTTAGTTTTAGTTTTTTTATTGTTAACTCTTACGCTACTTATCCTTAGAGATAAGGTCGAATATATTTACGTATAGGCGAGCTAATTATAGTTAGCTATGCTATTATTTTTAAAAGGGGGGTACGTTGCCTCGATTCTCGCCCGCTATTATTAGAAAAGGAATTCGTTATTATAGATTGCGTTATTAGTCGGTCTAAAGGTCGGGTAGATTAGTATGCTAAGTATGGTAGTAATTAGAGAGCTAGCTTTCGCTGTTACTGTACCTCGATGCTTATTTATTTTTTGTATAACTGCTATTTGCGCCCTGCACGCCTGTCTTAGAGTACTAGCTTTTATTCTAGCTTATTTTAGTAAAAGCACTCGTTTATTAATACTTAGGAACCCCGCCAAGGCTAGGCTTAATAATTCTAACTTTATAACGGCGGCCGCCTTGTAATAGTGGCTAACGACCCACTCGGATCATAGAAAAATAGCCTGTGCCGCTTATATCTGCTACTAAAAACTTACGCTATTAGTTCTGTTACCTAGTGCGAGCCTGGCAGCCTCTGTGGGCCTTAGAAGCCTAGGGCTGCTGAAGCTGTGATTCGTTGTATCGGGTATAGTTTGGTATACCCCGGAATAGGCCTATAGATAATATGCCGGCCCGCTGTGGGTTGGTACCTTATGTTGGTTAACCTGGCAGGAGGAATCCGGTTGTTGAGATTAGCTAATAATCTGTAGATGCGTGCTTTAGCGTAAGTAGTATAAGGTACCTGAGGCTGACTATACGTGTATTTCTGGCCTTGTGTTTTGGCCTTTTTATTGACTACCGGGTCTCTATTTCCTGCTTAATCTTCTATATCTGCCCCTTTTTTTGACCTTGTGGATATAATTGACTTCGAAATTGTTCTAGACCGTTATTCTGGTGTATTAAGCTAAGAGATAATGATGGACCTATCTGCTAAGACGGTACCTGCGGACGTTTCTATATTACTTTGTAAGAAAGAGATACTAATAGTAGTAGCTACTGTAAGCGCTTCGCGTTGTATTTGCGATTGAGAGCTGATTATGGATTCTATTTAGTGATATTATTAGCTTTTTTATTAGTACTTATGGCTCGTGATAAGCCTAGTTAAAAAGTTGATAAGGATATGCCCACGACTGGGAAAATAACGTGGCTTGTTTTGTGGGGGCTATTTCCTTTCCGTTTCTGGTATGCTTCGCCTGCTATGTATCTAAGAGCTCTGTAAAATTGTCGTTTTGTAGTTAATGGCCTGTACTGGGTTATGTTTCCGTCTTTTTCTTTTTATTATTATTATTATTATTATTATTATTATTATTATTATTATTATTATTATTATTATTATTATTATTATTATTATTATTATTATTATTATTATTATTATTATTATTATTATTATTATTATTATTATTATTATTATTATTATTATTATTATTATTATTATTATTATTATTATTATTATTATTATTATTATTATTATTATTATTATTATTATTATTATTATTATTATTATTATTATTATTATTATTATTATTATTATTATTATTATTATTATTATTATTATTATTTAACCTTTTTTATTTTCTTTTTCCTTAATGGTTACTGAAATGTCTTATTACCTATTTCTTTAGCAAGTTAAATGATAATACGTGACTATTAAGTAAGCTAGCTGGAGGAGAGTGAATAATACTAGAGAGTAGATAAACTAAATAAAACTGGATTATTACCTTTCTGTTTATCGGTGCGTCTGGCCCTAGTTATGTTTGATTAAAAGACTATTCCTATCACGTATTAAAAGGACCGCTAGCGGCCTGCGAGGGACGAGGCTATTACTGCTTTTGCTGTCTTTTAGATTGATGAGTATGCTCTGATACTCGTCCGTACGCTTCTAAAGCTGCTCGTAACTTTGGCGATATACTGCCGTATTAACTCGTAGTCGCAGTCGCCGCGCTGAAGTATTTGGTTTTTAAGGGTTAGTACCTCGTTCTGAAGCGCTACTAGGCATGTATCGAAATATCTTTATTTGGGCTAATTCGTGTTCTTTGGCCGTAAGGTGTTGCTTATACTGTTTTGTTTTCTTTTTATATCGTTTTGCCGCTGTCCGGTCCTTGATACGGTACATTTTGATTATCCTCGAGCCCTAGCTGTTGCTCTGGTCGCCTGGCCCATCCCTATTATCCGGATCTCCGCTATCGTCTTCGATCGTTGTGGTCCGATCGACTCGAGAATTCGGGCTTGATGTAAATAGTCTGCCTCGAATACTAATCTTTATTCTCTTGGAACCTCGTTGGTGGGCTGAAGTAGTTGGGGCATTCGTATTGGTTCTCGTCTCTGTCTGGCTCGATGCTTTACCGGATCGAGGATGGGGTACTGATTGCAATTGCGCATTGGTAGGAGACCAAGCCTCGCTTCTATACGTGTCCACGAATGATGGCAGCGGTTGTTGTAGGTTTTTATCTCCGAGTGCGGGCCAGCTGGTCGCTTGAGAAGCCCAAGTAGTGAATGTATCTGTTATACTAGTTCTAAAGTGTGAAGCTTGCAGGCTCTGAGTACCAAAATCTAGATGCGAAGTATATTCGAAGTCGAAAGCTCCGTGTTTATTATGTACGGGTTCGGCTCTCTGGGCGTCCTATCTAATCCATTGCTGGCATCGGAGGTCCCTACCTGGGGAGACTAAGTAGATCTGGTCTGGAGGTGTGGGATAGAGGTTAGATATATATGTACGTTAATAGAGAACTGCAAACTACATGAGGGAGCTAGTCAAATGTAGATGGAGGTTGGAGAGTAAAGTGGGAAATCTGGAGACAGCTGGACAGTGTTTTGCATTGGCGAAGTGGGGCGTAACGGAGTAAGACCCGGAGCGCGTCGGCTGTTGGCTAAACCCCGCTATCCGGGCATAGCTGCTGACTAAAGCGGCCAAAACCGAGTAGGAATTAATCAATTAATAATTAGTTAATCATGGTTAAACTATGACTTATGTCCTAAACTCCCTTGGCCTCTCTGTTGTAGGAGAGAGGGTTTTTCCTTAATACTGACATCGTTGGCCGTCCTTGTGATGTAACCTTGAATTATCTCGCAGTTGCAACCGCCGTGCTCGAGAATCTGAGTCCTTAGCGAGAGCACTTTATTTTTGAGCGTCGTTATACAGGCATAGAGATGAAGTCGGTCTTGTGTAAGCTGTCTCTCCTTTGCAGTAAGGTTGATCTCGTATTGTTTCGTCTTCTCTCGGCTTCGTTTGGCGGCAGCTCGATTCTTGACGCGATATGGAGTCTTTTGGCATGGCTTGGCATCGCTGGCACCCTCGCCCGACATTCCATCGTTCCCTTGCCCAATAATTTTCACTGTTGGAACATTAGTACTTCCGCTGTTCGTACTGGTCTTCTCTAGAGCCTGCTCCAAGGTCTGACCAGCGGAGGACCTTCGATCGGTTGGCTCGTTCGTCACATTATGCATCTCATCTGAGGCTGACTTTTGTCTGGGCGTTTGCTTAGAGCGAGATTGGCTTTCCGAGAGTTGCTGCCATCTTGGAGTCGTGCAAGGTGTCTCCATGGGTTGAAGCCATTGCTGGGGTAGTTCGAATGCCGCGGGCTCACCGGGTTGTACATCTGGCTGCGGATTTGAGGCCCAACTGTTGGACTGTTGCGCATACTCTGAGGTAACGTAGCTCGGCGCGACGGCAACTGCGTTCCATGGGTAATGGCCGTGGAAGTCTGAAGTCCAGTTCTCCGAGCCCACTGAGGCGAGAGAGCCGCCTGGAGAGACCAACAGCTCCGCCGAAGAGGTGTTGTAGTAATTCGGGTCCGGCCAATACTGATAGGGGTAACAATCATCGACGGTGGATAGGTACTGGTGTCGTAATACGGGATCGACGGTCATGGTCTCGTCGCCTTGCGGCGCAGTTGCCATCGGTATTTCGTGATACGTGGGCCGGCCGTCCATACCAGCTGGGTTGTACCTGTCGAGTGCCCTGTCAGCTGACCGAGATCTAATTAGAATGGGGGAAGGTAAAAGTACGAGAATTCACGATTCTTAACCGTCGATCCTTGAAAGGCTTGGCGCGTACGTTGGCTGATTCGACGCCGTGAGCTTGTTGCAAGTGAACCTCTGCTCCAGCGACCCACTCGCTTCGAGTCTAACAACCCTACTGAGCCATGGTTTGTTAGCTACGTCAGTGTTGTAGAAAAGTACTGATGAAAGCGATAGCTCCTGGGTCCGGGAAGTGCGGACATGGCCCTACCTTGGAACGGTATACAACCCTAGCGTCAGCGCAAAAAGGGTCAACATACAAGCGGATGGTTGTCAAGTTCACAATGTGGTGTCGAGCGATGGGGCCATGATAGACTATTTGAGCCGGCTCTCAATGGAACTGTCAGCTTGCAGCTAAGATGAGGGGGGAAGCGCTGCGACTACAGAAGTCAAAGCGACTGGCCTGGTACTGCTATCCTCTGAGACTGAGAAGGCGGCATTCGAGGAGCTCCGCGAGATGGAGGGGAGAAGACTCATGTCTTCGTCCAGGAGGCATTGTACACACCATTTTGCCAGTCAGAGGTCCGTGCCGCATTGCATACTGTCTACACGGCAGACAGGACGCCGTGGCTTGCATACGAGTCGCAATGAGACTTGTGATTTACGGCAGGGATGGCTACAGTTGCTTTGCAATCCTACTACGATGTTCAACCCCCTGCTACTACCAAGGAAGGGCAGTTGTCCAGGGTCTGTTTGCAGTATTAGCAGGGCTTTGAGCAGCGACAGACACGGATGTTCTAAGGTCTCGATATAAAATCCTCCCTATGCCCAGTGACCTTACAAAAAATCTGATCTCGTTCTCTTGGTAGGTACTTCAAAAAGGACCTGATTAGGAACACGCCGGGCTGGCGTGGTATACGGACACCTGTCCCGGGAGTCCACTTGTTCGCGCATTGAATTGACCAGAGGATGGGCTTCGCTAGACATGGCCCAGACGGCCCACATGAAATCACTACTATAACGGGAATATCTCTCTAGTAGTGGATTGGCGATGAAGATACAGCCAGTCCAGAACCATTACTTCAAGACAAAAGCCGGCAGCCACGCTTGAATCCATGTCAACCCTTCTCACACCGCAAACCATCGACTAACCTACCTGAACTACCGTTGTTACTTTTTATCACAGGCAAATGTTCCGGGTGAGATACTGCATTGGGTATCTCCAGGAATATCTGCACCGCAACGGTGCCGCGTTGTAACACAGGCGACAAGGCGATAGGAGGGCACAGAATGTGAAAGTCACACATCTTTAACACCAGTTGGCGCACACATGGTAGAATCGCACACGATCGGGATTACTTGCCAACATCGGTATGATTTCTTTACAGGTGGACGTTGGCTTTTGGGGATGTGCCAACTATCGCCCTGGGACACGGCAAGTGGGTGCAATCCCGTCGGCCGTGTGAGGGGCTGATTGACAATTGACAGCCAATCGGTCTTAACTCCTTGGTTCCACTGCAGACACCTTGTCATCCGCGCGGGCCCGTTGGCGAGGTCGATGTCGGCATGTCAATCGCGTGCTTGAGTCTTACAGACAATGGACATGCATTTCCCTGCCTCCCTTGCCATGCCGGTCTCGTATGATACTGGCAGATATGCGAATGATATCTTGATGCGGCCGTGACTCTGTGAACATGGGTACATGCAAATGTGGAAATGGGCTTTGCTGACATTGGGAGTAGCAGTGCATACTTCATTTGATCGTTCATGCTTTGGTCCAGTGCCTAATGGCCAGCGTCAAGGCCGGCAAAGCCTCGACAATCTTGGGGCTGCACAGACCCCGTGCCGGAACCCCGGCTCTGATGTGCATTCGGATCAAGAAAGCAAAGCCTGGCCTGAAGTTGGATGAGTCGCTTGTGTAGGCGCCATAAAAGCTACCTTATTCAAAGAGACCAAAGAACTGCGCAGCTGCGTGTGATCGGTAATCCCGCCAGGAGCTCAACATTCCAGTGCCACACCGAACCAACGGGTCAGCAGAAAACTCCTCGAAGACCGCTCGCCTTTGACCCTTACGGTGTAGCCTGGTCTTTACACCCCGCAGTGGCGTGAGGGTGCTGTGCTCTCAACTCTAACATGCTCGATAGTGAACGTAGGGCGTGACCGATGGCAACGTTCGCGGCTATAGTCCCCATTGATAGGCGAGTTGTTGCCCTATTCAACCTTTTATATGCTAACAATATTGGCCTTGGGAGCCTTTATTAGAGTTTCAGACCATAAAGCCTATGTACAGCATCTAGTCACCGCAAAACCAGAGCTTACGGCGGCGTCTCATTGCCAAGACTTCTGACTCTGCACCTTGACAGAAAGGGTTTTGTTGCGTACTTCCGAGCTGACTGCCCCGTCGTGCTGACTCTGGGTTACGTGGCGCGCCAACCAACCCATGCCCTGCTCTCTACCGATAACCGGATGCAGAATGAGGCACACGCGGATGTCCCACCAAGTTAGGGAGACCAAGGGTATCCGAACCACTTGATCTATCGCTGTGTCTCATTTTCGTGTGAAATCCCACGATTCCTAGCACTACGGCGGAATCCGCTTATGGAGCACAGCCAAGAGATAAAAAGAAACTACGCAAGGCAACCGCTGATCTGTTGACCATAAATGACGGTTCTCATGTGATGCGAGACCAAGAGTGTAGGTACGAATTGGAAGATCGTAGGCGATATGTTTAAGCGGCGCTCAAAAGGCCCCTCACCTGAGAAAAGAGTGATGGCCCCCCGTATCCCAAGCGCCTACGCGTGTCTTGCGCCCCTGTGGTAATTCGAGTTCTGTGAGGTGATTAGACTTTTAGACCTTTTCATTGGTTTTTCAATGTCTACTGGCACATGTCAAGGTTCAAGATTGACAGAGACAGCTGGTTGTGAATCGCGGGGCTGGTGTCAATCAGCTGGTGTCAGTCGAGCCCAGGTTCCGGGGTAGAATGAACCTATTGAGGATCGCCACATCGATGGGCGAAATTCTCGCCTCCATTCAATCCCTTCCTCTTATATCTCTGGTATCGTTCTATTGAGGAGATTAGCGGAATGCTACTGAAGGCATACCCTCAGAATCCCCCCTTCCTTAGGTTTTCTTCTTATTCCTGCATCCTTTCAGCGGTTCCGGCCCATTCTAGACCATTTTGCGATCACCATGGGTGCAAAGCCTGGTTGTTGCATCAAAGGACGTCGGCACGCCATAATACAGGTTTGCATATCCGAGCAAGGGGCAACGGAGGCGATCTCCAGCGTAGCGTCCTCCTATTGCAGAACAATCCCCGATCCGAGGTCGCGACAGGGATCTCTGTACAGGGGTTTCAGCTATAGCTCATCCAAGCCAACGCATTGGAATGGCGGTTTCCTACCCAACAGCAGGGTGATTTGGGTTATTAGCGGCACGTCCCGCCGTCTCATTACGACTCGGGGGAGACACTAGTAGTCGGATATTGATACGTGCTTCCTCCTCATGTGCCGGGGAGCAGGTCAGTTCTCGTCGAGCGGATCTAGGGATGATAAGCGCAGTTGCACAACCATGCCACTGCCCAAGCTAACACGATACTGGGTCCGAAGACAAGCGCACAGAAGCCCAAGGGATCGCACGTCGCAGCAACATCACCGATCACAAGGAAGGTTGGGCGCGGGCACAGTCACAATCTCGCCAGGGGAAGACTCATGCACCTGCCAGACTTCGGTCGCAAAAGTGTCCTGGAGGTTACTGACACATAGAGAAGGAATTGAATCGCTTTTGGGAGAACCCAAAACTGGACTTGACTAAGTGGAAAACGAGGAGATGCACTGACACATGGTGTCGCGAAGGCGAACGCTGTGCTATGGCAGGCCACAGAGGTCGCTGCTACAAAAACCCCAAATTCCTTACAAAAATTCTGAATGAGGTTAGTGTGCTAGTCGATCAGCCCCGTAGTCTATTAACCTTTGTACCTTAGCTCCGTTTTCTTAATTTTTGTGACGAGGGCGATGCCTTTTTCGATAGTAGCGAGTCCGCTGTAAACTAGGCGGCTACGTAACTAGACAGTCGACGCGCTTCGAACGTTAATCCGTAGCACCCTAATTCGTCAATGCGAAACGCAAGCCAGCTGTCTTTAAGTTCATATTCTAGCCAGCTCCCTCATATACTTCGCGGTTCTTTGCTATGTAGGGGTTAATTTGCACCGCCGATCGCCAGAAGCTTCCCTTAAACAATCCACTAAAAGTAACTATGTTCCGACTTAACACGCATGACTAAAACTAGTGCTTGCCCTGCGGGTATATAGCGGCTATAGCGCCTCGTGATTGATTGATTGATTGATTTTAACCTACTCACTTATTAGCTGTTTTTATATTAATAAGTATGCCTAGATAGCGGGATTTAGCTAAAAGCCTTTATACTATAACTACAAGAACGTTTATATATATATTAATTAATTATATTATAATCAATAAGTAATGAAGTATTTTAATAAACACTTTTTATTGGAAATAAGTATTTTCTATTTTTCCCTAGGCCTCTTACGAAGTACATAATTTATTTTATGATAATCAATAATATGCCTCTTTTTATTACTAAACCTCTTATATACAACGTATATGATAAGCGAGTAAAACACTCCTTTATTATGTGAACATTAATCCTGCGTCAGTGCGTTCAATGGCCTGAACACGGATCTCGCATTCGACCGCGAGCTTTCAAATGGTCAGCAATCATGGGCCTTGTGGCTGACGTGGGTACTGTACCCCCTTACCCCTGGGCCTGCAGTGGGTTCTTTCCCATTCTGGGGAGATCGTGACGCACCTTTCCGCACCGTAGAACGGCTCCGAAACTAGACAATCTGCGCCGGGTCGCTTTCCCGATGATCCCGTTACTGCTTACTACCCTTTATCGCGATGGATTTCTGCTCTAAATATGGG